CCAGTGTCGTTTGACCCTGTGTCGTTTGACCCTGTGTCGTTTGACCCTTTGTCGTTTGACCCTGGGTCGTTTGACCCTTTGTCGGTGAATCGAAAATATATACACGTTTATATACGGCTGCATAGGATGCATGCTATAGCATAGACTCAGATAAGAAAATAAATACAAGTTTATATACGGCTGCATAGGATGCATGCAGATGATAGATTTATATAAGAAAATGTATTCTATGCATTAAAAAAAGATCAAATTCTTCCTATGGTCTAATATGAGAGCTCTAATAACATTTTAAATGTGACGTATGCTGTTTAGCTGTTGATGTTTTTGAGAAACATACAGCTAGAGATACGCAGTGCGCAGAAAATACGCACATAAATTTAAAATACGCACATAAAATGAATTTAAAATACGCACATAAAATAGATTTAAAAACTAACTTTGTAACATTTTATGACATGATTGAACCTTTTGAAATCTCCCATTCCATCTGCACGATCAAATAATATCTGGGACACCCTGACCGTCAGATGTTCAAACTTTTTTCAATAATAGTACTAATCTGCATTGCCTGCAGGACCGAATTTAATGAATATTGAGAGGTCGCTGAACTACCTACCGCCAGATAAAATCTTGAATCACCTATTCAACATAAAAGATTTGTTAGGATTTGAATAGGTGATTCAGGATTTGAACCCGCTGTAGTTAGTTCAGCGACCTCTACAATTCGTAAAATTCGGTTCCTAAACTTAGTATTTATTGCAAAAACTTTAAAATGTATGCGATTAAATGCTTATTCCAAAATAAAATTGGCAAATTCGTGATTTGTCCGATAGCAGATTTTTTAGCTTCTGAGTTGTGATTGTTCGGATTAGTATTGATTAAGTTCTTGCTGAAAGGATTAACAAAAACAATAAATAAAGTTCCGACCTCTGGCTCAATACATATTACATAGGGTTTCTGGTTAGGTTAGAAGCAATAAATATTTTATCACTTTTCCGAGATTATTACACGAGAATATTTCACGAGAATATTACACGAGAATATAATATTACACGAGAATATTACACGAGAATATTACATGAGAATGAGATGAGAAATTTTTTTTATTCGCATGGGATATGTAAACGAAGTTTGTGGATTTTCATAAAAGAAACGTTGTAAAAAAAGGCCGAAATTTGTCGTCTTAAAAACTTTCGTTGGTATTTCCTTTAAAGAATTTGATATTTTATCTTAATTTTTTAACGTTATTGGCTTGCCAGAGCTAAGAACATGTTTTTTGAAAGAGGTTTAAGACACAAATTAGATATTAAGTTCATAAGTTCCCCTTTCCTGCCTTTTCAATACTAAAACCTTGATGGAGGTTAGGGGTTCCATTTCGAGGATATCTCAAGATATTTCAAGGATATCTCTAGATATTTCGAGGATATCTCAAGATATTTCGAGGATATCTCTAGATATTTAGAGGATATCTCTAGATATTTCGAGGATATCTCTAGATATTTCGAGGATATCTCTAGATATTTCAAGGATATCTCTAGATATTTCGAGGATATCTCTAGATCTATTTTCTTGTTTATATTCTTTTATGTTTAGAATAATCAGACTGGAGTATACAAGCGTCTATCTGAGCTGGAAACTAGATTGACCGGACTAGAAACTTCGCTCGTTAAGATCTCCAGTAAACCTCAGGGCGAGGATGTTCTTCAGGGCCTGGCTGACCTTGGAGGGAAACTAACAGAGGTTAGTCATGGGAAACTTGATTTGGACTTTAAAAATCAGTATTCTTTTTATTTTTAATTATTAAAAGTCTCTAAGGATATTGTATTTTTAACTAATAAATTTTTTCGAAGAAATATGCCCTAAATATATTAAAAGTTAAAAATTCCACATTAAAATTTAAACATTAAAAGAAAGGAAGAAAACGAAGGCGGCAATCAGTACACTGTTTACTGGCTGCCTCTGTATTGTGTATATCTCGCTATTAAAACTATTCAAGGTCGGTGTTAAATCTGAAATCGCAGAAATTGTCGTTGATTACTGTTCAGTTACAAATTTTGAGTGTAACTTGTAAATTTTGTTAAAATTTATTCTTCACATTTTTAAAAACAAATTTGAATTTCCCCCTTCCGACAAAATTTCTAGGATTTTTTTTAATTTTTTTGTCTAGACTCTCAGGAGATATTTTAGTGTCAACAGTCTATAGAGAAACCGGCTCAGAGCAGAGGGGGGGGGGGAGTGCAGAAGTCCACAATTAGTATAAATTTCCGCCATCCAAACGTGTTTTGCGGCATGCGCGCTCCTCAATTGGTAATCTCCACCACCTCAATTTGTAATCACCGTAAAATCTTGTTTTCTGAGATTTTAATTTAATGCTTTTTTAACACAATTTTCGACATCTATCGGGGTTTTATGGCATGTATTGACATAGACTAAATTTTCAATTTGTTTTCAGATTGGTTTGGTCAACAAGAACTGAGAAACAAGGCATAGTTTATTTTAGCCGAATCATAGATTCAATTCGCTGATTTAATGACTGCGCTTCATGATTGGAGTTAAGATACTAAAATGTCGGGCTGTCTGTTTACTAAAATTACCTCACTCCGCCCAAAGTAATATCATTCTCCATTTAAAAGATATTTTCAAAAAACATTTACAATGTTCAGATTTTTGTATTCGCCTACTCGAGTTTAACATCTACAACAAAACTTCATTCATTGCTAATTGAGGAGGTTCAAAAAAGTAATTTTATTGCTAGCGCTTCATGTAGCATATTTATAGATTTATTTCGGAAGCTAAGGGGCAGTTAAAAATCATTAAGAATATTCTACACCATAGGGCTATTAACAGAAGTCAATATAGTCTTATTTCTAAGAAATAAACGATTTAATGTTACCCTTTTTTGTCTGATCACCAATTGAGGTGCGCGCATACCGCAAAACACGTTTTGNCCTACTGTGAGCCGGTTTCTCTGTAGACTGACAATAAAATATCTCAGCAATTATGCAATTATTTACCCTCTCCTCACCCCCTCCCACTTCTCTACACCTTCTGTGTTTATATAAAAACTAAATAAGATCTACCTCTCAACTCTCAGTCCTACATTTTACACAATACAAACTTTTTTATTTGAATTGAAGGAAAAACTTTAAACAAAACTTAATCTGATTTTGTTTATAATCTGACAAAACAAGATTAAATCAGAAATTAAATACATGTTTCTTGTAAATGTAAAACAGAAATCCATATTTCTTGCAAATATACTGCAGAAATACATATTTCTATTTTCTTTTAAAGGTAAAGCAGAAAAACATAGTTCTTGTAAAGGTACAGCAGAAATACATGTTTCTTGTATAGATACAGCAGAAATACATATTTCTTGTAAAGGTACAGCAGAAATACATATTTCTTTTAAAGGTACAGCAGAAATACATGTTTCTTGTAAAGGTACAGCTGAAATACATATTTCTTGTAAAGATACAGCATAAATACATATTTCTTGTAAAGGTACAGCAGAAATACATATTTCTTGTAAAGGTACAGCTGAAATACATATTTCTCGTAAAGGTACAGCAGAAATACATATTTATTGTAAAGGTAAAGCTGAAATATATATTTCTTGTAAAGGTACAGCAGAAATACATGTTTCTTGTAAACATTCAGCAGAAATTCATCTTTCTTGCAAATATACAGCTGAAACACATGTTTCTTGCAAATATACAGCAGAAATACATATTTCTTGCCAATATGCAGCAGAAATACATATTTCTTGCAAAAATACAGCAGAAATACAAATTTCTTGCAAATATACAGCATAAATACAAATTTCGTGTAAAGGTACAGCAGAAATACATATTTCTTGTAAAGGTACAGCATAAATACAAATTTCGTGTAAAGGTACAGCAGAAATACAAATATCTTGAAAAGGTACAGCAGCAATACATGCCCCTTGCAAATGTACAGTAGAAAAACATGCTTCTTATAAAGGTATAGCAGAAATATATTTTTCTTGCCAAGTACAACAGCAAAAATACATATATTTTATGTACAAGTACATCAGAAATACATATATTTATTGTACAGGTACAGCAGACTGTGGAAAAGTTGAAAAAAGAGAATATAAAAAATAGCGCAGATGTGATCAAGTTGGATTCTACAATAAATAATCTTAAGGTCAGTTCTTTAATTAAAGTTTTTTTCCGGAATTCAATCATTTTAATTTTTAAATAGCGTTTCTTAAATTGTGTACGTAAATTAATTTCTCAATTTGCTAAAAAATAAATAATAAAAGAAATAGCATTGATCAATACCCTTTCATTTTTCAAGAATACACCCTTTAAGTCATTATCAATTTATATATTTTATTATATATTCAATTTGTTTGTTTATTGAATCATATTAAATAAAGCTGAGCTTAACTTTAAATATATCGAGTTTAAACCCTAAATTATTTCGAAAAATACTAAAGGAAAACTATATTCTTCCATGGAAAACATGGAAAACTGGACAATTAAATTCTTCCAGATCAAATTTTATTTGAGTCCAACGCTCGTTATCGTTTATCGTGAAACAATCGTTTCTCGAATTAATTTCTCCTGTCTGATGAGATCTAAAGAAATTAGCAAGGATCAATACAGAATTTGTTTTTATATCCCCTTTCATTTTCACTAACACTCCCTTTAACTTATTGATTCTCATAAACAATATGTTCTGTTATTGTTAAATATATAAAGTAGTAATCTTTGTTGTCGGTTTGTTTGTATGACCAATCATAACTCATCAACCCCTTGATCGATTTGCCTCTAGTTTTTTATTGATGAACTTTGTAGAACAACTGAATTGTTTTTAGCTTGGTTTTTAAGTTCTAAGATGAGTAGGTTGACTTATCTAGAAGTTTTAGTCTCCAGGCAAAGCTGGATTCCCACGCTAATATTATTTAATTTAATATATATTTCATTGGTTTGTGTATTAAGTCACATTAAATTTAGTCTTCCATTGTTTGATAATTTCCTGACTCAGCCCTCTTTTCTAGTTTAAGGGCTCTTTTACTTTTACTTTTGTTCGAAGTATCAGTTTTAAAATATTTTTTTCTTTCTAGTTTCAGGTTTTTTGGCAAGAAGCGCCTGTAATTTCAGATTTCTTTAATCGCCGGATGCCTTTAATATTAAATTAGTTTTAGAATAAAGGAACTCGTTTTTATTTTATATTTACTTCCCTTTGTAGATTATGTTACATACTTAATCTTGCTACATAAAAACTCACCTTATAGATGGTATTTCTTCAGAACAAAAGAATTAAATTTTTCAGTTGTATGATATAAACAAGGACGGAGAACAGAGTTCGGAGAAATCAAAACTACCCGACTTGGAGAAAGGTCTGGCAGAGACCAAAAATCTGGTGAACCTTCTCCAGGATAGGTTTGAAACTGTAAACACAACCCTCTCCTTGGTTGCTCAGAACTCAACAGCCAGGATGGATTGGTTGAGCAAGGATCTTAGCTCAGTTCAGGTTTCATCCTTTTTAACCCTTTATAACTTTAATGTATAACATGTTATCCATATTTTTTAAAGCTCTCATCAAACAAAACTTCTCTTTGAAAATATACTAAAAGAAACTTGGTTAAAACTTTATTTCATACTTTCACGACATTATCATTTTTATTAAAGAGAGTTATATGTTTGATTTTTAATAATACTCTTCTTCATACACTTTATATTTCAACGTATTACGCTTTTCTCAGTTAAAAATGTTGCTCGTTTTCTTCTAAAATTACATTACTTTAATGAAACATTTTCCAGGTTAAAATATCTCAGTTGGAAGACGACAACAGAAACGTATCCAGCAGATTACTTAACATTGACGGAACTATGGACGCGGCGTTGGTGCAGATCAAGACCAACCTAACCAGCCTGGCCGGAGTTGTGAACAGCTGGAAGCATCCTAGCCCGGAGATTAGTCCAATCTTAAAGAATGTTAAACTAGGACCAAGAGACAAGAAATGAGAATTATTTATCTAGTCTTCCAATTGCGTTCTTCAATTTTGTAATATCCTACATACAGTAAACTTTTTCCCCAGAGGTATACATTTTCTGGTTTCCAGAAAGTGATAGGCGTATATATCAATACAATGATGACAGTTTCCTAATGCATTTTAGCTTTTTTTACAATCCAAAAATAAACAACAGTTCTCTCATTTGCTTAAATCTTTGTTTGTATGTGGTGTACATTTTCAAGCATGTAAGAAAGCAAAGCTGCGATAGAATGTCGGCAGCATTGTACTGATATATACGCCTATCAAAGTCTAATGTCCCTAAAGAGGGGGAGAAACCTTTGTGTGTTCATTTGTGACTTATTTTCCATGAAAATAAGTTTGGTCGAATAAAACTAGGAGCATCGAACTCTAGGGGGAAATGGTTTTAATTGAAAGATTGGAGCAGTGCGGGATTTCAGGAAAATGTATGCCCCTGGGCTATGTATGTATAACCTCAGAAGTCCTATACATTTAAATTGACAATCATGTTTTTCTTAAATATGAAGTATGGAGACTTCCTGAACTGTGAGATATTAATTTTTGTTCGACTAAACAATATGGTGTAATTGTATAATTGAGCTTTTCACCGTATTACAGTCGCTATTCTCTCTGTTATTGGTGTCAAATACCAGAATTTTAAATCTTTACGCGTAAAAGAACTTCCATGTATAAAAGTTCTTGGAGTATTCTTGTCCAAGAACCTTTTCTGTATATCCTTGAGTCTATTTCATAAATAGAGATAAATAAGATCAAGAAACGGTCTGGAAAAGTGACTGTGTAAATACAGGAAATTGTAAAATCTTTATTTAGTATCCATTTAAATATCATCCTATCATCCTACACAAGACTCAATCTTAAATCAAAATTATATTCCAGTGTTATATTAAATAAATCACCAGTGCTAAAAAAGTAAATTAAATTTAGAGACTGCCAAGTGGTATTGCCTTCTTTCCAGGATCGTACCTAGGAAGGGGCACTTGCCCCCCCCCCCCCCCACCTTACTCAAAAGGGGTGCACATTATCTGAAACATAAAAGAAGAGAATGAAAAATAAATAAAAAAATAAAACGAAAAGTGAAAGAAAGTATTAGAAAGGGAAAAACTGAACTTGACCTTTCCTTGAGATTTTTAAGGTATTTGATCCATTTTGATGCCAGTTTTTCCCATTAGTAAAAAGTAATTTGTGATATTAGTTATCCAACATGATATGGGGTTTTCCTCAGAAAATTCATTTTTTTATAATTAAAATTTCAATTTTATTGACTCTTTTTTTTCTTCTAGAAATCTAATACTTAGTTTCCTTGGCTGAGTTCGTTTCCCTTATGTCCATTTGACAGCCCAAATTTTTTATTTTGATTAATCTTTTTTTGTTTACTATTTCCTTCATTGTTTTCGCCCCAACCATTCGCAAGTCCCTTTTATATGGAATAAACACAAACGAAAGTAATCAATTTTCATCAAGAAGAAAACTAAGGATATCTCAGTTATTCATGCCTGCAGACAAAGGTTTATTGTACCGTAGGTAATCGGACTATATCACTTTGCAAATTAAAATCCCTTTAATCTTTTTATGGGAATTGTTTTAACGCTCCCAATTCAGAGAATTTGTTATCTTTCTGTAAGAATATTTTCTATGAATTGAACAGACTCAAAGAAAAATAAATCTTGGACCATATGTGGCTTAATTTAATTCGTAATTTATAATCAGCGCAACCTGATGTTGGAGACCTTTGATATGTGTCTTTATATGGGCTAATAACTATATTAAATACAGTCGTCGCATACATCAAAACAATGATACGATTTTTATTTCTACTAAGCTTTAAAACAGCAGAAACGCTTTAACATTTAAACAAGAGAAGTTGTTAATTAAGAGCTTCTTTTTGTTTTAAACATCTAATTTAAAAATTGCTTGAATTGGAATCCAAGCCTTAATACAAATTCGTCTTCATTGTATTAAAATAATCTTAATCTTGATTTTTTAAAACTAAACTTCAGGCGCAAAGCAAGCTATACAGATCTAAAATTAGAAATGGGTCACATTAATATGTCAAAAAAATATTTTTAAAATTTGTCCGACCTTTTGTTGCCATTTTTAAAACCTCCTTAGCTCCCAAAATATTACTGTTATCGCAGTCTTATTTGTTTTTAATAAAAAAAATTAGTTGGCCTTGAGTTTCAAGAGTTGGCCGGGAATACCTCCCCCACCCTCCACCCCCAGTATATTCATAGATTCAGACAACCCACTCTCCAGCCTTTGTGCTTTGCAGGGTTAAATTCGATTGTATTACATCTGCCCAACGTTACATCCGCCCTACGGTACTTTGGACCTACTCGCAAGTTATTTGTCTGCTGCTTCAAGGTGCTGTATGTTGGTCCGATGTTCTGTAGGTCGGATACACAAAGTTAGTATATCCGACCTGTAGGTCTGTTGCACAGCTTTCTATAAGTGGGTTTCACTATTCAGGTGCAGCACAATATATTTGTAGGTCGGATGCACATGTCGAGTTGGTCGGATGCACAACTTTAGTAGGTCTGATGCACAACTTTGGTAGGTCGGATGTTCAACTTTAGTAGGTCGGATGCACAACTTTTGTATAGGTCGGATGCACAACTTTAGTGTAGGTCGGATGCACAACTTTTGTAGGTCGGATGCACAATTTCGGTAGATCATGTTTAATAAATATGGACACAGCGCTCGGCCACCTAGCCTGTCCTAGCCGCAGAGCTCGGCCCAGAAGTTGTCTCGACCTAACCTTGTGCATCCAACCTACTAAATCTGTGCATCCGACCTACAAAAGTTGTGCATTAGACCCACAAATCCAAACTGATCCTCTTCAAATGTTTTCAAGTACAAGCATCGTTTGAATGTCGTCGTACGTTCTCCAACGATTTGGAGAGTTTCCATCAATATTTTTATATTGCTTGGATTGGATAATTTACCAATTTCACGTCTACCCAACTACAGATGTTGGATGCTTTCTTGGCGGGAAACATATACAAAGAGATGAAAGGGGAACAGCTTGATATTTAGAGATATAGAGAGAGAAAAAGGGATATTTAAGAGATGAAAGGGATATTTAGAGATATGAGGGATGTATCATAAATGAAACTTTAAATGCGGAATATTCATTTTACAATCATTAATCTTCCACAGATAGAGCAGATAGAGGATTCATAGAATAGATTTGGCTTGTTCGGTTTGATTTTGCATAAAAACCTATTTCGGTTAAACCACCTCATGACAGGCTTCGCCAGATTTGGATGGAGCTACTATCATCATGTCCGATGTAGGTCCTGGCGGTATTCTAAATGTATCCCATCTGGATCTGTCGTATACATACGATGTAGTATATATACTACAGCGCAGATATGATCTCCCACTTGTCAACACTTTGATGTCGGTACCATGCAGTAAATCAAATGCTTTCTAACATGTAGACATCGATGAAAATGTCTACTGTCTACCCCCCTCTATAAACCCTTCAAACCTCGACTGAATTTCTTTAATAAAAACAAAGCGATTAGATTTAAACCCTCCCAGTAGATTAAAATTGTTGCATTTGAAAGCAAATATATAACAGGCTCATAAGGGATGCTTAACTAGGTTCAATATAAGTATTGAATTACAATTACAGTGTGCACAAATTTTCTATAATTTTTTCAAATATATCACAATTGTTTTAATGGGTTTGAAAAGTTCGTAAATTGAAATGGCTATTCAAAATAGTCATAAATTGAATACACATTAGTATTCAGAATAGTAATAAATTGGTTGGATTCACAACAAGCTCCTTTGTTGGATTCACATCATGGCTCCTTGGGTTGGATTCACAAGAGGCTCCTTGGCTGGATTCACAACAGACTTACTGGTTGGATTTACATCAGGCTCCTTGGTTGGGTTCACATTAGGCTCCTTGGTTTGATTCACAACGGGATCCTTGGTTGGATTCACATCATGCTCTGTGGGATGGATTCACAACAAGCTCCTTGGTTGGATTCACATCATGCTCCTTGGGTTGGATTCACAACAGGCTCCTTGGTTGGATTCACATCATGCTTCTTGGGTTGGATTCACAACAGGCTCCTTGGTTTGATTCACAACGGGCTCCTTGGTTGGATTCACATCATGCTTTTTGGGTTGGATTCAGAACGGGCTCCTTTGTTGGATTCACAACAGACTCAACTGGTTGGATTCACATCAGGCTCCTTGGTTGGATTTACAACAGACTCAATTGGTTGGATTCAAATCAGGCTCCTTGGTTGGATTTACAACAGACTCAATTGGTTGGATTCAAATCAGGCTCCTTGGTTGTATTCACAACAGACTCAATTGGTCGGATTCACATCAGGCATCGAGGTTGATCATTGATCAAGGTTGAATCACAACAGGCTCCTTGGTTGGAAAAACAACAGGCTCCTTGGTTGGATTCACATGGGCTCCTTGGTTGGATTCACATCAGGCTCCAAGGTGGGATTAACAGGCTCGTTGGTTGGATTCACATCAGGCTACGAGGTGGGATTAACAGGCTCGTTGGTTGGATTCACATCAGGCTACGAGGGATAGATTCACATGGGTGTTTCATGTTGAAGAGTTTGAGAGTAATTATCAAATAGTTAATTTAGTTAATTGGACCTACCACAAAGGAACTGCAGCAAAGATATAGATTATAAACTATGGCGGTAGGTAATTTTTTCCGCCCTCGCAAAGGATGTACAGCAGAGATATATGAAGTATATACTATGGTGGTACGTGATTACTCCACCCAAGCACCTACGACAGAGGAGATAAAGCGAAGATAAGGAGTATATACTATGGTAGTAATTTATCCGTTCTCGCATCTACGACAGAGGGAGGGAGGGGGTGCAGAGGCGCCATGATCCCCGCAAAAATGACCTCCGAGCCTCAGGATTTACAGAATTACCTCCAGGCCCCGCAAAACTGGTCAGGCTTGGTGACGTCACTGAGGCTGGGAGACCAGTTTTGCGGGGCCTGGAGGTAATTCTGCAAATCCTGAGGCTCGGAGGTCATTTTTGCGGGGATATCATGGCGCCTCTGCACCCCCTCCCTCACAGAGGATGTACAGCAGAGATATATGGAGTTTATACTATGGTGGTACATAATTACTTTGCCATCGCACCAACGACAGAAGAGATATAGCAGAAATATGGAGTATAAACTTTGGCGGTGTAGTAATTTCTTCGCCATAGTACATAACGAGAAACGAGCGATGGAGGGGACATGGGGTATATACTATGGAGGTATATAGGAACCTCTCTGCTATCGCACATACAACATGTCAGAGATAAAAAAAACAGCGGAGATCGAATGTTAGCTGGGTAATTACATATAATAATTGAATTAATAATCATGGAAACATTTTATAGGCTATAAAGTCTGCTCAAGACAGTTCTATATAATGTACACGATATGTACACAAATTCTTACTTTACCTTACTTATATCCTAGCTTTTATGCTGATCATCTCAGTTCAATTCTGCAGTCGCCAGATTTGCTTGGATGGANGGGTCGTCAATACCTGCATTTCCACCACGAATTTAAGCACTATTTTTTCTAAATGAGAACAGGCTGCTAAAAAAATTGGCATAACTTTGTCCTAATCTCAATCGAAAAATACTAATTTAGCAAAATAGTTAAAATTTAGGGGTGTGAGTCGCTATACTGCACACTATCACGTATTTTTTGCATAATTGAAGTTACCATAATTTTGCATAATTTCTTCAAAGTAAGTTGATAATATTTTGTAATAATTGCGCATGATTAGCGAAACATCAATTTGAAAGTATTTAAATTATCTAATGAGCTAGCTGAAAACTTTAGAATGGTGGATCAAGATTAATGCTTAAACTCCTGGTTTTACTAAACCCGATAATTTATGTTATTACGCATTCGATATCCAAGAAAGAAGTTAAAAATGTAACCAATCAGCGTGTCATATGCTAAGATGTAATCTTTAACTTTTGAAACCCCGATTTTGATTTCTGGTGTTGATGGTGTCATATCAATGGAACTAAACATCGATTGAACAAACGTAAGTTTTAGATTAATGTTTATTAAGACTAACGTTCAAAATGACAGTAGAGTCCTAAATTATGTTTTTTTTTAATAATTTCATATTAACATGATTAAATTTATATTTGTTTAAATGCTCTAAAAGCCTGCTTGTGAACAGTTGACTTTAATTCAATCGGATATTAGTCCAATCGATATAGCATTGTATCTGTAATTGTTATCAAACGTAACTTTTATACAGTAGGAATATCCAGAAAGAGGATTGTAAGAAGAAAATCAAGTGTGTACATTGGATAATCCCGATTACTTAATCTGAGTATCCAATAGGCACACTTTTGATTTTCTTCTTAAACCGTCCTTTCTTGGATATAGCAGAGAAAAATCAAAAAACTGTTTTTTTCTATTTAGAGAATCCCTCCCGTATTTGAATATAATAAGATTAGGTTAGTCTCGATGTTAAGAAAAAGAGAGGATCATCTTGATATTCACTATTCTAAAGTTTTCAGCTCTGAGCTGAAAACTTTAGAATGGAATATCCTTAATCCCAATCGGTTAATTAATTTGAGCGGAGCTGAAAACTTTAGAATGGTGGATATCGGGATTAAGGCTTAATCCACTCTTTTTCTTAATCTGCAGATTAAATATTGCTTGTTCTCCTCTCATTTTTAATCTCCAGATTAATTATCCGATCAGGATTAAGGATATCCCATTCAAAAGTTCCCATCTCAGAGCTGAAAACTTTAGAATGGTGGATATCAGGATTAAGGCTTAATCCACTCTTTTTCTTAATCTCGAGATTAAATATTGCTTGTTCTCCACTCATTTTTAATCTCCAGATTAATTAACCGATCAGGATTAAGGATATCCCATTCTAAAGTTTTCAGCTCTGAAAACTTTAGAATGGATAAACTTTAATCCTGACTTCTTGATCCGAATATCCACTGTGGAAACTTTTCATTTTAGTCCTAAACCACTCTTTTTCTCTCCCCTTGGATATCCGTTAATTGTTTTCTCCAATGAGAATATTTCTGTTCTCTCATTGGTTGCCCGCTTTTCTCTGAGCTGAAAACTTTAGAATGGTGGATATCAGGATTAATCCTTAATCCACTCTTTTTCTTAATCTCCAGATTAAATATGACTGATTTTCCTCATGAATTTAATCTCCAGATTAATTAACCGATCGGGATTAAGGATATCCCATTCTAAAGTTTTCAGCTCTGATTGGCTGCTACAGTTTCTCAGATGATTAAATATTAATTTGAATTTTATCGTTTTTCATACACTTTTAAGATAATCTTGCAAGATTATGTTAATCTTGAGATTATCAAAAAGAGAGGGTCAAGCATTAATCCCGATATCCACCATTCTAAAGTTTTCAGCTCTGGAGACTAATAACAAGAGAAGAACAAGCATTATTTAATCTGGAGATTGAGAAAAAGAGTGGATCAAGCCTTAATCCCGACATCCACTATTCAAAAGTTCCCAACTCAGCTCAGGTCTTATTTAAACATATGTTTGGCGGTTAATTTAATCAATCTATCTAGGTTGAATACAGGTTCTTTGTGATGAGTAAACTGCATACTATACTGCATAGCTATTTCTAAAAAAAAGTTTTACATTTATTCTATTGATAAGAAGACTCCCGACTCCTCAGATTGGTAAATATAAGTTTCCCGGCCAAGTGCATGACAGAGTTTGAACACCATTACATAGAACTTAAGACTTATCTTAAATTCATGAAGGTCAAATATATCTTATCCGCAGCTCGTCAATTTTATACTGCATTGTTTCTATAATTGATGGTCGAATAAGTCACAAAACTGTTTCCAACGCGTGATCAACTCAAATATAATTTATAGTAGTTCAGATTTCAAAATATATTCTTAAATAATATTAATATTAGAATCACAGCGGTTAGAAAACCTCGAGTTTAATTTCAATAGACATTTGTCTATTTAACCCTAGGATCCCTGGTACTAAGGGTGTTTATCCCTCCCCTTCCCCCCGGATGACCCCTCAAGTCTCCCCTACCAAACCTGGGGTTCCACTGCCCCCGTCCCGGACCGCCCGGTGGGAACCCCCGGTTATGAAATCCGGGAAAACGATTCGGATTAAAACCGGGTCGCATCCTGGGATCCCTGCCTGGTCCCTGGTGTAACATGGTCTCCATATTCTGCTGGATACCTTTAAACATCCCCATTGAGAACTGCATTTGTTCAAAGGTCATTTTCTGGTTTCCTGGAAACCCGGAGTTCATGGGTTCTCCAGATTCATCATAATCCATTGGCATATTAGGATTTAATTGATCCTGATTTTGAAAATATTCCTGGTTCTCATATTGATCCTGTGCTCCAGGGTAGTTCTCCTCGCTGTAATCCATTCCTGGACTAAAGGTTTCATCTATGGGCTGCTGTTCGATGTACCTGGAGTTCTGGCGACCAAACCCAGGATTCCCAGGCACAGATCTCTCTTTATTGAGTTCTCTGGCAGGGTTGTAAACATGGTTTCCATCACTATCCTCGCTAGATCTTCTCCGGGTCTCAGTATTAGGAGGTCTCCTTGGATCCGTCTTTCCTTTTAACCGAGGATCAGATTTCGGAGCTGGCATGTTGGGAAGAGGTAAATCTTTCATCTTGGCAACTCCAGATTTTCCGAACCGTCGGAGTCTAGGATCAAGCTCTATTTGACTGGCGGAGAAATGATGCTTAATGGTTGAATAATCTCTTGGCAAAACATCTACGGAGACAAGATTCCAATCCATTGGAGGATGGGAGTTTATACTTGCATCAATCTCTTTGGCAACGTTATAAATATGAGGTTTAAAAGGAAGACCTAGTCTATCAGACAAATATTTCTCTTCTTCCGTCTGTTTAGGGCTCATGTTGAGCATAGGAAGATCTAGATCCTCGAAAACTGAACCAAGATCAAGATCTAGGATTCTCTGATCCTTTTCTCGTTCCAGCCGTTCTTCTTCCTCTTTCCGGGCTTCTCTGGCTTTCCTTGGACCGACCATGCCAGTTCTTGGGTCTTTCTTCTCATCCTTTTGACTAACATGACTGTTGAAGGTTGGAGAAATATTGCCCGTTTTGGGACTGTTCTTTCCTATAGAATTCAACATGCTTGTTAGCTCCAGGGGAAGCGAGGTTCCTTGTGATTCGGGAGATTCCGATTTCTCCGATTTAAGGTTACTGAGAACATTCTTAAGCAAACTTGAATCTTTTTCATCATCACTATAATAGTAATCTTGCTTTGGTTCCCAATCTTTAGTTTCAGAAACAGTAGATTCTTTTTTCACTTTCTGTTGAATCCTTTGATATAGTTTTAATTGAGTTTTTGGCATTTCTGGATATTCAGAGTCTTCACAATCCTGGGCAGGAGATACTGGGGGAGTTATCTCTGGAGTTTCGTCTCCTCCTCCTCCTGGTTCCCTCTCCCACGAAGCTTCTCTATCCTGATCACTTCCCTCGGATTTATTTTCACTTTTCATTCTCTGGTTTGACAAGAACTTTCGTATCACGTTTTCATTAAGTTTAATCTCCATGAGACCTGCAGGTTTGGAAGGTTTGGATTTAGGAGGAGAACCAAGAATACCCATGGTTCCCACACCCCCTCCTCTCCAGGTTGGGGGCTGCGGGTTGAAAGGATCCCTGCCTTGTACATCATGCCCGGTCAAACTTAGAAATCCGTCAAATTCCGGTACACGCCCGTCCTTGTTCAAAGGTAGTGGAGACTCTGTGGTCATATCCCACCTACTACCAGGGGTTCGGTCAGAGTGATTCCAATCTTTTAACTTAGCTTCAGTGTTGAGTATATGGGTTACAGCCTCGTGGCGTGATAGTCGGGGGAAATCTCCGAGAAGTTCTTTAGGTGCTGTTTCAACATGCTGAAAATAATAATAATAACAGTATAAAAAATGTTATCAGGATTCTCGACGGTACCCTAGGAAACCCTTTATCTGATCTAAAATGTGAAAGATTTTGTCGTTTTTCTAGGTTTAAAGTGTTAAACTCTGATAATTCCTAAATTCCTAAATACAGTAGAAATCCGCAAGTCAACTTTGTAAACCACAATTAAAGATAATAAGTTTTCAAAATTAATTACATTGATATCTATAATTCATGCTTGATCAGACAAAGCTTTTAAGGGCACCGTTGTGAATCGGGCATCGCCATTTTTCCATGGAGAGTAACTTGAAATGACGCTTACAGTCCCTTTAACTAAAAAAAAACTTACTTTGAGCAGAAGATTTCTAGATAAATCATTGAGAGGTTGATGAGAAAACTTGCAGGCCTCGTCAGAATGTTCCACATCTATTCCAAGATGGTAGAACTTGCAAGGGAACTCTTTATGAAGATACAGGCACTTGTCCTTCTTCACACATCTATCATACACGTAGAACTTGCACAGTTCAAATACCTTTGGCACATCAAAATCATGTGAAAACATGCAATCTTCGGCGTCCTGAAAAAATATATTCTAAATAGTTGATTAAAAAAAAAATTTTAGTAAAGATATGTTAGGTTGAAAATCTTACCCTCGGACACTTTCCCTGTAGGTAGAGATTACAATATCGACTTTTAGGACCTTTCCATTTCTTCCGTCCTGGATCCTGTTCATTAGGATCCCTCTTCCTCTTTTCTCTCAAGGAACCAGGGGATGGAGATCTGGATTCAGCACTTCGTCCTTCTGATTCAGACTCAACTAGACCCATAACACCTTCCAGTGCTTTCATGCGTTTCATCATTGCTCTTTTCTAAAAAATAAAAATATTGCTATTAATAATAAACATAAAATCTGGTAAATGATAAAAGTATGCTTATAGATTTCAGATAGAACAATATTGATTGAACAATCTCTACATTTCACAATGCACACTATAATGCAGATAATACATTGCACAATGTTATTTACAATGTCAATATGTGCACAATATGTACAATGTGTGCAATGCACAAAAGAGTAGATTGTACACTATACAATGACAATGTATCTATTAGTATATTCATTTAATATAAAAATACCTTGGCTGTTTCATCATCCACTTCTTCTTCTCTCTCCTTCTCTTTATCCTTATCCTTCCCCTTTTTCTTCTTATGTTTCCTACTTCTATGCCTATCCTTGGATCCACTTCTACTCCTTCGTTTATGCTTTTTCTCCTTCCTCTCCTCTTTTTCTTTTGATCTCTCCTTGACCGGTTCAATAACTGGTTCAATCTGTTGTTCAGGTTCTTCTTCTGGAACCTCATCATCACTGCACTCTCCCTCCTCAAGATCAATCTCAGGCTCCTGTAACACCATCTCCCCCTTCATGTCTCCTCCCTCTTCGGAATTGCTTACTGTCATCTCAGATTCGTTCATTTCCTCTCATTCTAAAACAGTTTAGATTTTAATCTCAGGCCAGATTTCCTTCTTTTCGTACATCTTAAAACAAGTGTTTTTAAAACGTACTTTAATATTCACTTTAACCAAAGCAAAAAAATCAAAAGTAATATATAAATACCCCCACAACCCTCTCTCATCTTTATATTCGAACAATTACTTATCTTGACTTGAATTATTTAAAAAGATCCAAAATGATGATCACATTTTTAAAAAGCTTTAAATATTTACTTCCTACAGCCTCCCCCCCCCCCACAATTCTATTTATTTACTCCCAAGTGTTAAAAGAAGTTAAAACAAAAAGTAATATAAATTGTTTAAAAGTTTTGAAGGTTTGCCAAGGCACAAGTAGGTAGTATATTTGCTATCATGTTACAAGTCAGCCAAAGGATAAAAAATCGATCTAATTATTAAATTAAAATACAACGATACTGACTTAATGTAAAAAATAATTTCAGGGAGTGTAGGTAACGATGGGATTTTAGTGAAAATGTCTTTTTACAGAATAAATTACATTTTTGTCCATTTTGGAAGCGAATACCGATATTCGAAAAACAAACGTGAATTTCAGAGCTTTCATAAAAAATAAAATATATCTTTACCGTTACGTATCCCTATTTTTTGTTTGACACTTCCTGTATCATTAGATTTATTTCTAAATAAGGGACCTTTTTACTTGCAAATACATTTTACTTACGTCCTTACGTTAAATCTATTTTAAACGTGTTTTATTTTGAAAATTGTCTTTTCTGTTTTGGGTTCCCAAGCAATAACGTATCCATTTGATGTTTCAATAGATTGCGGATTTTCTGGATGATATTCGAACATTTTCTTAATAAGTATTTCAGATTTCAACAAATTTTTTTAAAATATGCTTTTTAAAATGGTTTTAAACAATTTAGAAGGTTATTATAGGAATGATTTATAAATTGTGGAACTAAAAAAAATACTTTAAAAACGACCAGAGAAAACATTTCCGTGTTCCGTTCGGTGAACAAAATATATTCTCTGTTAACGAAAAAGCATAGACAAAGTTTACGAAGTCCTTGAGTGTGGAAATCCCCCCCCCCCCTCAACCCTTTTCTTCATTTCTTAAGTATATAAAACTCAGAAATTTGTTCCATCAATTTGGATATACATTATATAATGTTAAAATCAAAGAGTTAAATTTTTAGAATTTTAATTAGAAAAGATATGCGTTGGAGGCTAAGACACAAACTAGGACATAATCAAGTATCCCCCCCCCCTTCCCCACCACCGGCCACCCTCCTGTATTATCTTAATTCTCCTGCAAATGCATACACGGGCAATGTGGGGGGAGGCAGGCTGTAATATATTAAACTTACAAACATAATTTCATTTTTTCCTTCTCTTATTTTGACAGTGTCACAATTTGTCCATTTTATGAGAATTTCTCCAATTCTTTCTTGTACCTTAATCTAATTTACAAAATTTGTTTTTGAGGGGTTTCATTTAAAATAAATTTTAGTCTTTCAGAGCAAGATGTTTGAGCAGAGTTTTATTAAGCTTTAAATAAAAATCCAGTGAAATCTAGTCATAATATGATATGATATGAATATCAAAAAATAAAATATGTTTTTTAAAGGTTTTTTGCTCTTTTACTATTAGATTGTATAATGTTATGATTGGTAATTATGGTCAGATGACTAAGTCAGGTAGATGAACATAATTTTAAGCTTAAAAGTTTTTTCTTAATACGGGATTTTAGTGGGGGGGGGGGTTCAGAAAAAAACCTTCACTACGCCCCTGAATGCACAGTTATAGACTTTGACCGCAATATTCTGGAGTTTAAGCTCTATAGCCCCTGAATCAAAAAGCATGTTTAGACATCTTTTTCGAAAAAACCTCGAGATATTTCAACCAATTCGTGAAAAATCTACGTAAAATATATAATTGCAATACTCATGATTTACCAAATTATTATTAGCCCCTTCACCAAAAATGATGCGAGAAATTTTCAGGGTTTTAAATTTTTTTATTTAGGAATTTTTATAGCTGCTGTCCGGAATTATGTAAAATTCAATTTATAACTTCGCAGAGTGCAGTACGTCCCACTAAAATTAAGAATTTAAAGATCAGCAAGACAAACTATATAATATTTAATCAGGCGCGTAACTAGACATTTTGTTATGGGGGGGGCAAGATGGAAAACATTTTTGCCCCCCCCCCTTAACATTTTAAGGGGGGGGGGGGCAAGAAAAATGTGTATTATACTCACAATAAAAAAACTAACCTAACCAACCGGATATTCAGTATGACCCCATCTGATATGAAATAAAAAAGAAATCTATCAAACAATTTTGTTAGTTACAGGAAAATGCCTTAAAAAGAAGGGAGGGGGTGAGGATGTATTCTATGTTGTCCCATATAAATGCCCCATAATTCAGAATGAAAGATAATGGTTGAATAATCTGCTATGAAGGAGTAGAATTTTGCAGAAATAACCTCATTCACAATAGATTTTAGGACAAAGTCTTCAACTTTATTCGAGTTAATGTTTTCAGCCCCCTCCCCCCACTAAAGAAAAAAATTGGCCTAAACTTTAATTTGTTTTTTATTGCTATTCCTATAATTTTGATCAAGCTATTCTGAATTTTCCAGGAGACCATTGTTATTAATCTATTCTTTTCAGCTTGTTTTTAAAGCATTCCTCTGATTGAACTATAAGCTCAATAATCTAACGTTCAATTATCATTTTTTTATTTTACGATCAAAGGTCTTAAATTTGCTAGTTGCGCACCTGTATTTAATTATATTGAATATATATGCATTCATCTTTGCAACATTCCATTATATAAAAAAAAAAATAACGACAACATTTTATGATTCCACTATGTTGCAAGTATATATAAATGCAGGCCTTTTAAATCATTCTTGATACGAGATATTTCAATTGCGTTTTATCTAAATAACACAACTAACTTCCAGAATGCATTAATTCAAATTTGTAATAGTCTTTAAATTTTCATGTTAACCCATTAGTGACGAGACCATTAACTTTTTGTGAAGTTGTTTTAGAAGGATCTTGTCAAAAAACGATATTCAATTAAGTTTTTGATTTTTTTTGTACAGGGTGACCTGTAAAACATGAAAATCTAAAAAACTTTTGTTACTCATAATTAATTATCTTCAAAACTTTACTTTTCATGTTTTAGGTATTTAGATCTTTAAAAGAAGATTCCGAAAATATCTTTAAATTTTTTCTAGCAAAAAAATGACAATTTTATAGATTCAAAACTAAATTACAGGGTGTTCTTTTGGTTCTTTTCCGAATTCAAAATCTTGTTTTTTTGGTTTTTTTTTAAATTGAAAATTTAATAGAAAACCCAATTTTGAAGTTACGTCAAATATAAAATATGTTTTGAAAACAGGAAATCCTAAGGAAAGTGCAGGAAAAGACAGGACAACATTTAGTTTAAGAAAAAAGGCACTTAAAAAAAACTTCACCCGGTCAAAATTGGCCTTCTCGTCACTAATGGGTTAAGTGTGAAACACTGTATTTTCTGGTTTTCCCCGTCACACGGCCAATAATACAATAGAAAGTTGATAAATAAAGTTCTGGTATTTTCCAGAAGGCTAATATTTTTTTCATATGAAAGGGCAGGATTTAGTTGGAAGGAGCATGCAAAAAATATTTAGAGGGAAAGGGAAATATTCAAAATGATTGTTAGTACAGGATTTGATATAAAAATGTCATTTTTTTTGCATGACCCTGTGTACAGAATGTGTGTCACCTTTGGACCAACTGCATGATTATAAATGTTGAAATAATTCTGAAGTATTGAATAATTAAGCCCCCCATGGAGAATAACTTTCAATCTAAATTGTTAAGAGTTAAAAAAAAAAACCCCAGCAACCCTCTTTGCAAAATTGTCAGTGAAAGAATATTTAAAATTCTATTTTCCTGAAAAAAAACTTAAAAGATAGCTTTAGTTTAAGATTTAATGTGACATTTGTAATATGAACCCNCTGTCTAAATTCGCAAAGTAATACAATTCTTTAAAGGTTAAAATTTACTTTAAAGGTATCTTTTATTGAAGCTTTCTTGAGAAAAAAACTTAAACTGAAATCGCTTTAATAGCTTAAGAACGCTGAAATTGATACATGATTGAAGGATAGCTTAATCTTAAATTAAGAAACATAAGTGCCACGTAGAATGTGTAAAAATTGTTGTATAAGCGGAAGGTATCAAGTATTTGTATAAGCTCAACTGGGGAGAGAGGGGGGGCCGGGAGTGATAGGACGGAAAGGGGGTGGGTGGAGGTTGATGTAAGGGGGAGGAGAAAAGCACCATGGAAAAACTCAAACATTTACTTTTGCTTTCTTCCTTAAATTTAAAAAAATTCTCCATGTGAATTTAACTTAATTAATATTAAAATATTAAATGTTTTAGTGCAGCCATTAAACTATATGTCTTTTTAAGTAAAATGCTTCACTAGCTAGTTAAAATTTTACATGTTTAAGTGACAAAGTCTCGAAAATTCTGTGGATCTATTGCAGTTCCCACTCAGATATGAGGGCTGGTCCTGCCGGACTGTACCGCCGAAAACCCCGCCAAAACTTGGAGTGTCACGGAAAAGGATATAATGTTCCCAAGGAACCGGCCTGTTTCCAATAGACCTGGCCGTGCCGGTCCGTCTGCTGTATCAAAACAAAAGTTTCCGGACCGTCCCGTATTCTTCTCTAATCGTTGGTAAAACAAAGCCTTGACTGTGAGGGCTACCACGTACCGTACCGGCTGAAACTGGCAATATCCCAGCATTTCCAGTTTTAGGGAGAGTTCATGAATTCGAAGTATTAAAACGTTTACAACATTTTAAAGAATCCTATCATTTTCTTTCCGATGTTTTTGATTTTGTTACACTTATTGCTCATAGGAAAATTTCAAAAACTTCAATTTAAACTATGACTCGAATATTCCGCGCTAGCCTTTTCTTTCTTTCAAGTTATTTTTAAAGGGGACCCCTTGACATGAAACCCAAATGTAAACCTTTGGTATCTAAAATATTGGTAAAATTTCACCTATAGGACTATCTAGCCCTTTCCAAGATCATTTATAGTTCCCTTCTCTGAGTAGATGTTGTATACGAGTGGAGTGCTGGCGGGCCAGCTAGATTCTAAGCGGGGGGAGACCAGAGACCGGAAAATTTCTCTACCTTCCATCGATAGAGTTCGGAAATAAAAAGACGTTAATGTGAAATATGATAGAATTTAACTTCAAGCATAATGTTAGAACGATAGTCATGATTTGATTATTTAACTACATAAAGCAAATACGTTTAAAATTGAGTGCACAGATCTCACTGATGTCATACAAAATGATTATTTAAATTTTTTTTATAAAACTTAATTAAATCAATTAGTGGCGCAGGGATGGGGGCGAACCTGGTTTAAATAAAACCCCGATAATAAGATAAAGGTCTAATGAAAGAATGGACAAGAATTTAGATGATTTTATTAGGCGCGAACAAAGAAAATAGAATATATTAGAGTGGAATTTACTGGAAAATAGTGTAAACCGGCCATTTTGTTGTACTGTTTCCATACAGGTGTACTTCACATATTTGCGCTATAAAACCTTTTGGGCCCTGGAACATCATTTTATAGAAAATCTAAAATTAATATTTTATATTATGAAATAGGCTGGTTTGATAATTGACCAATGATCATTTCACATAGACTCTATGCCTTTCACTTTACAAACGATGATTTTCTGTTACAACTATAAATCAAATGATGTTTTATATTTGCACCTAATTCATTTCATAAAGTTTATTTAACAGCTTTAAAAAATTCGAAATTGAA